ATCCAGATCACACAGCCAGATCTGAATGCCTTTGCCGCATTCTGGCCACGTGGAGGGGTTTCATGTTCTCTGCACGTAATAAGCTCAGTTATTAAGCATCCTTTTTTGGGGATGTCCGGTGGCCGAGTGGAAGACGTGTGGTGGCGTGAAGCTAGGCAATTAGGTGCCGTACACGAGCGCCAGTTCGAGTCACGCACGCAGTACGTGTTTACTATAATTTGACGTAGTATTTACCTTGTCGCTTATTTGGTGTTACTTGCTTACTTTACTTCCTATGTCAACAGCAACTATGAGTTTAAAATTGTACCTCTGTGATACTCGTACATTATGCCTGAGTGGTTGATACAAGATAATATTGAGGTCAGAAATCTAACAACATTTGAGTGTTAAGGTGGAAGTTGTGACAGTAAGTCCTCCTGATGCCAATTACACAGTTATTCATCTGCACTATGAACATATTAAAAAATGTCAGAAATAAGACTAAAAACTGAAATTATTAAAAAAACAGTAGCTCAAAACAATTGCACTTATTTTTAATGGAATCTATCAGGTACATATACATGATAAAACCTTAATGGATTTTGCATCCCCTGGATCATATGGTTAATGCATCCTCGCAAGCTTGGGCCTTTTCAGTAGCACAACCTTGGGCAACAAAAGCTGTATCCAATCGATATAGATTATTAATATATGTAAGTGCCCTTGCAATGTATTATATGTGACGACCTTAGTATATATATATATATATTACCGGTATGTGTGATTACCCTTGCGTTATATTACACCTAAAAGCCATTGCAATATATTACGTCATAGTGCCCTTGTGTCAATATAACACATCTGACTGCCCTTAAATATTACGGGTAAGTCTTTCCTTGCAATATAGTAAGTCTGACTCCCCTCGCGATATATCAAGTCTGACTTTCCCTTGTGATATGTTAAGTCTGACTCTCCCTTGCGATATATTAAGTCTGACCCTCCCTTGTGATATATTGAGTCAAACTCTCCATTGCGATATATTAAGTCAGACTCTCTCTTGTGATATATTGAGTCTGACTTTCCTTTGCGATATATTAAGTCTGACCCTCCCTTGTGATATATTGAGTCAAACTCTCCATTGCGATATATTAAGTCAGACTCTCTCTTGTGATATATTGAGACTGACTTTCCTTTGCGAATATTAAGTCTGACGCTCCTTTGTGATATATTGAATCAATATATATTATTATATATTGATATAAATGTATGACTGCTATTGTGATATATTGTGTATGACTCTCCTTTGCAATATACAGAATCTGACTCACATAGATAAATTGAGCATGACTCTCCTTAGAGATATATTAAGTCTGACTCACATAGATATATTGAGCATGACTCTCCTTTGCGGTATATTAAGTCTGACTCGCATAGATATATTTAGCATGACTTTCCTTTGCAATATATTAAGTCTGACTCACATAGATATATTTATCATGACTCTCCTTTGCAATATATTAAGTCTGACTCACATAGATATATTTAGCATGACTCTCCTTTGCGGTATATTAAGTCTGACTCACATAGATATATTTAGCATGACTCTCCTTTGCAATATATTAAGTCTGACTCACATAGATATATTTAGCATGACTCTCCTTTGCGGTATATTAAGTCTGACTCACATAGATATATTTAGCATGACTCTCCTTTGCGATATATTAAGTCTGACTCACATAGACATATATTTAGCATGACTCTCCTTTGCGGTATATTAAGTCTGACTCACATAGATATATTTAGCATGACTCTCCTTTGCAATATATTAAGTCTGACTCACATAGATATATTTAGCATGACTCTCCTTTGCAATATATTAAGTCTGACTCACATAGATATATTTAGCACGACTTTCCTTTGCAATATATTAAGTCTGACTCACATAAATATATTTAGCATGACTCTCATTTGCGGTATATTAAGTCTGACTCACATAGATATATTTAGCATGACTTTCCTTTGCAATATATTAAGTCTGACTCACATAGATATATTTAGCATGACTCTCCTTTGCGATATATTAAGTCTGACTCACATAGATATATTGAGCATGACTCTCCTTTGCGATATATTTAAGTCTGACACTCACAGATACATGTATATTGATTATGACTGCAATATACTGACTCTGACTCACATCTAAATATACTGAGTTTGACTTTCACTTGCAATATATTGAGTCTGACACTCTTTCGCGATATAATGAGCCAGACTCTCCCTTTTGATATGCAATATACCATGTCTTATTGTTGACATGCTGGAGTACCAGGTATTAATAAATTACTGAAGTATCAAATATGGTATATCAAATAGGCTGGACACATAAACAATGGGTGTAAAGTATTTTATCTAGGCCAAGTAGGAGATAAAGGACAAAACCCCCATCATACAGGACAGCTGACAGCTGAATTTCAAACATTAATTTTACATTAATGCAATATCATTAATTTACACAGATATTTACATTAAAAAAATCACATGAAGTGCTAATATTAACACCTTGCTGAAAAAAATTATTTATTTTGAAAAACAGAATTAATTAATAATTTGTTTTCTCATATTTCTAAATATTAGCAGAAGAGAAACAAAACTGACATTGCAATAATAAGTTAGTACATGTATAATAGTTATTACATGTCTCAGCAAAATTATTGAAGGAGGAGATTTTTAACAGTTTGTAATTACTGGTAAACTAAATATATATATAATGGAGCTTTTAATGAAAACCAACATATAGAAATACATGACAATAGACTTGCATTAACTGAATTAATCCAACCATTGTACAGACAAGGTACACCTCGAGTAAATCACCAGCATTTAAATACCACAAAATATTTTTTTGAACACAAATGAGACAATAGCGGCCACAAATCAACAATACATGTAAAAATATGGTTTTCTTTTTTTCTTATGCATACATAGATGCCAACAGAGCAAAACAACATGTTAACAATAATGATGAAATATATTTAAATTCGCAGGCTACACTAGCTAGTGACTGACCGCAAAAACAAGTGAACATTTCCCATGATGCTAATCATTAATTGTGAGTGACTTGCTTTATCTAATTATATCTAGATAGACACAGGTGTACATGGTATTATAATATCAGTCATTAAAAGTGTAATTATAATATTCAAATTAGATTATAATCTCATCATCATAATTATTTTGTTTTCCTGATTTTAGAAATCAAAACAACAGATATAACTATATGATACAAGATTGTCTTTGCATCAAAAGCATGAAATGCAGTATATGTCAATTTATTTTGTGATAAAACACAGATAAAAATAAACTTATTCCTCTGATATTAAAATTAAAAAATTCATGAAAGATCAATACCCAATACAATGCCTGTATTGCAGTGCATTTTTCGACGTGAACAGTCATGTTCGATTTGATTACAAGCATTTTATGAAAGTGAAACCAAACACACAGGAAATTTATAATCCATGCAAAAAAAAAAGTGCTTTGCAATAATGTATAAATACGTTGTCATATGAATGTGGGTGATAGTCTTGTGCGGAATTGTCTATAGATCAAGCAAGAACATAGATAGATTTGTTTAATCATCAATTATAAGGCATCTTGTTTAAGGCAGAGTCAATAAGTGCCTTAGATTAAGTTAAATAAAATTGATGGATTGTCTCCAGTGCTAAGCTCCACACTACATGTGTTTTGGGGTAATATTTGTTATACAACATATAGATGTCCTCAGAGAAATCAAAAATAGGATTCCAGATATAAGTCTATAGGTATTAAAAGGTGAAGAAAGGGTGCCTGATCTCTGACAGAGTCAGCACTACTAACCCATGGGAATATTCATATCACCTGGAAATACACAGCTGTTTTTTAGGGGGGGGGGGGACAATGGCAGAATATTTTAAAATATCAAAGAATATTGAGATACATAAACTTACCCATGTTTCTTTCTTTCCAGCAGGATCAACAAATATCAGGTGAGTCGCGGTCAAATATAACGTTCCTACCGATGGTTTACGACTATTAAACCGATCCAATAGACGAACATTTTCGATCTAAGAAAAAAAAAAAAAAAACGCACAAATATATATAAATTAATATGCTATACAATAACTCTATTCAACGACACATGACAAAGCCATGCTGATCAATTAGCGCAATATTTAGAAAGACTTCACAAAAACTGAGATCAATTTTCTTTTTATCATTTAAACTATGACACAATGCGAGTAATCCAACCTTAAAACAACTGAGCGCCCGTAAATACTGTTTAGAATGCAGGAAGAGCATCAGGAATTTGAATGGATCACAGAAGAGACACATGATACATAGTGGTCTGCATCATCACATGTATCAACGTAGGGCTACATGAATAGTATTAGTAAACATGGGGAATACACGACGACATCATTAAGCACTCATCGTACTGAAGAATACATCTAATGTACGTTGGAAATGGAGATGATTTTAATATTCAGATTTGCAGGGAGACAGAATTGCGGCTGATTTTTTTAAACACCTGTTTCCGGTGGGAATAGATTAGTTCATTGGCACAGTCCTCAAATTACGCTGTAACAACCAACATCATTTCTTTCACCATGTAATTACTGAATATCTCACGGTGTAGATGTTATTATTTTGCAGTAAACTATACTCTAACAAACTGGTTTATTTCAGTTGTCCCTCATATTACATTATTTAACCTACCCATGGAAAAAGTGAAATGATCCAGATTTTTTATTTCACATTCGCCATACACGTTGTGTCTGTATCATAGCAAGGAGAACTCAATATTTTTATGAAGGAGCTTCTCTCGCACAATATTTTTTGTTTTAATTTCCTTATTCATTTATCAAAAATGGTGGCAGAGATGAGTTTTGTGCAGGGTAATGGCAGAGTAACCGAAAATCATATGTACTCATATGGAGTCAATAATAATACGTGTGACATATGGTCGGACTAAAAACCACAGCACATGCTATATATACATACATGTAAACAATTGAATTGTCACCGGTGATCGCCGTACGTAGCAGACCAAAAAAGGGAACAGAACGGATTAACACAATATGTTAAAGTATACTGATTGGTGAGACGAGTACGAACTGACAGTTCATTTTCAATCTAAATTTACCACGCTGCAGTGTACTGTGGTTTACTGCTGTGCACGCAGTACATATACTTCATATATCATATACTTCATGTGCATACCGGTACCGGTATCAATCACTAAAGCTGGCAACAAATAAATGTGGGCAACGAATTCAATTCAGACACGCTTGTCTTCAATCAGAGGTGTAAATGTGATTGAATGTGCTAAAAGGATTCCATGTTGTACAACATACAGACACATCAGCTGCAATCAATGAAGAACAAATTCAATTTCTTCTGCCGTGAACAATATTGCAAATAGCAGTTCATCACCGACACCATAATGTATATGTATATTGTAACTGACTTGTGCTAAACGAACCTACGATAAATGATGCTACTCAAACATGGATACAAGACAGGAATAACCAACACAGTGAGTGCATAGATTACAATATCAATTTTTTTTTTCAAAGTTGCTATGAATCTAATCTACAATACAACTCTGAATTTATTCTTGAATTCAACATTATTTTGGACATTACAGGTAAGCTCATTATTCATTATTATGAAAACTCAATGAATTGTGCTTATATTTCAGTGTTCTTCAGGGACAGGTTTATTTATAGATTGTCAGCCTAGGATATATAGAATTCATGTCATTGCTATTCACAGTGTCTATCCATTACAGTATCTCAGATGGCGTCATTCAATTATGATCAATGCACAATTCTGATCACCCACCCTTATGCATAAATCCGTGAAATATTCACCTGTTGAAAATTTTACAATTTTAAAATTTACAGGTGTTTTACACTATGACTCCATCTCCTAAAAACCCTATAGTTTTCTATGACCCAGGGTCCTTAAAACCCCATCGTTCATTATGACCCATGACTTTAAGAACCCATCGTTCCTATAATCCCATGACTTAAAATACCCATCGTTCACTATGATCCCATGACTTAATCAAAGAAAGCTTAGAAAGAACTCCCATGTGCTGAGAGTATTGGAGACACATTGAATATAATTCGAAATTACTTAGCTGAAAACTAATTATGCAAATCAGAAAATTAATATGAACAGATTTGAGTGTAAAACTAATGAGTCTGCGCAATGTAACAGAAAATCTATGTTTCTAAGTTTAATTGAAACGTGATTAGAACAAAA